AAAGAACATACACACATATGTGTGTGTGTGTGTGTGTGTGTGTGTGTGTGTGTGTGTGTGTGTGTGTGTGTATGTATACATACATACATACATGTATGTATGTATGTATGTATATATATACATACATACACACACACACATACATATATATATATATATATATATATATATATATATATATATATATATATATATATACAGTGATTAATTACATTACCCTTCGCGTGGAAATATTCTACTCATGATAAAAATAGAGGCTAAAAGTAATCAGCAGGAATGACATTCCATACAAAGGATGTCAGGAATATTTAGTTACAGTTAGCAAGTCTTCCTTGTCAACTATCAACCTTTGACATGAAATTTTCTTGGATGAATTTTATGCCATACTGATTTATTATCTATTGAAAAGTTTCTGCCGCATCATCATCGAAAGTTCATTAGCGGCGTATTCAAAATATAGCGATATGGGAGGGGAGCTTGCGTAAGAAGTGTTTTGGTTCACAAGTCGATGTTTGTGGAGTTCCTAAATGGTCAATGGCCAAGATAAACAAACGTGCCAGACTTCCAAGGTCACACAGCATTATGACAAAGTATTGCGGTGAAAAGGGGTAAACCTTAGTTAACGATTGAGATAAGGAGATAGAAGAAAGGATGAAGAAGAGAAGGAAAAGGAAGAGAGAAAAAAAGACCATACAAAAATTTGTTAAGGCGAGGACTGAGAACCAAGATAGGGCTGATCCCTTACCTTCGGCTTCTGTCTCCGTCTCCTAAGCCGCCCCCCCCCCCTCCACGACAACGAGGAAGGGATTGTGTGTATTCATTATTCATTAAAGGGGGGGGGGGGTTATGCCGAAGTGAATATACTGTTCTAAGGGACTGGCTAAATATGGTACATTAACAAAAGTTCCGTCTCGTTATTAAAGCGTTCCTGTACAAATTTGATAAAAATGTTAACATGGATTTTTAAAATGGGAAAAGATACTCTTCATGCTTACGATTAAAATCAAGCCATCTGAATTTACTTATGAGACATTAATATTAAGAGACCGTCCTCAGTTTGAGATGGATTTTCGATATTATTTAGCTTGACCATTCATACACACATTTTTTTACTGTCCACTACATCTCTAGCAGAAGAGGCCAATTACAAGGAATTCGAAAATAAATAGCATATAATTCTCTTGACAGTGTTTTGAGGAAAAGGGTATGAAAAATTTTCAACACTGAAAATTTCCTAAGCATGACCGGAGAATCAAAGATGAACATGATGTTCTGGGCATGATTTAATTTTGGTTTCAGTCTAGAGTCATCAATAACACAGCTAAGGTGAGAAATGGCAGTTGTCCGAAACATCACGTCGTACCCCATGGCTGCAAGTGGCGGTCAACATGGGCAAAGCCAGGTTCTTCCTCCGTCATTTATGCGGCAGCACGAAGTGTGTCGAGGCTATAAAACTATCGGCACAAACACCGCCATATAAAGATTAAAATAAATTAACTGCACGCACATACAATTGTATGTTTATGCTGGCATGTGCATCATACTCGCACGTGCGCACGCACGCAATCGAACACACACGCATTTACATGCATACGCAATTAGCCGTTGCACGCACCCATGCGTGACATCGGATGAGTTAGCAAGCTCCCTGGACATTCTTGGTGGCTGGAAGATTACGAAAATGCACATCAAATCATATTTTTTCTTATGGCCTCTAAAATTGTCCAGACTCGTTGCACTCACTGCAGGATCAGTTGGCCCCATACAAAGAAATGTGAAATATCATTCCTGCATGTACAGTACATAATTTCATGCATATTGTGTGTGTATATATATATATATATATATATATATATATATATATATATATATATATATATATATATATATATATATATAAGTATGTATGTATCTATGTATATATATTTATATTTATACATATATGTACATACATATAAACATATATAAATATATATATATATATATATATATATATATATATATATATATATATATACATATATATATATATATATATATATATATATATATATATATATATATATATATATATGCATGAATTTTACATACATTAAACTTTTTATCTTACCATTTTATGTATATATATTTATCATACATATACACATATTACATTCAATAACAAAACCCGTTTGCTGCTTTTAGAGGGTGTAGTACTCGCCATGCCTATTTACAAAATGAACTCATTTACAATAATAATGATCATACTGATTGATACCATTAAAGGCATTGCTAACATTACCAGCAACACTGTACAATTACCGTGAATAATCATCACTACCAAACCTGTTCTCCACCTGCGGCAGATTGCGCATCAACATTCATGCCATAAGCTGCCCAGCCTAGGACAAATAGGTGCTGGACGGCAACCATTCCATCGTTATTTGCAGAGATTTTGTGACCCAAATAGACAAAACTCAGTCACTTGAGTGATTCGCTCGCCGTAGCTGGTAAGATTAAAATTCGTTTTTATTGTGTCAGTTAAAATGCATTTTGTCTTGAATACATTCCTTTATAGATCAACTTGAGATACATATCAGAGCAAGAGTTTTAGGAATACTTAGAATTCGTGCCATGAATTGCTGATGATAGTACTACGATGCTGAACAGGATAGCAGATAAAACATCCCTTTGTTTCACTAGAATGTCAATGTATCGTGATATTCCGATGTCTGCTTTGATATATGCTTCTGCGTTTTCGTGGGATTGTTTCAGAAGGTTGATGTATTTTTTGTTGAATGGTTTGGACCAGAAGACTCCATAAGTATGGGTGTTTAACACAGTCGAAAGCTTACATGCAGTCAGTGAACGTGATATGCAACATGCATGTAAAATTCTTTGGGCTTTTCGAATATTTATACCCTCTGGTATAAATATTTGCTCAGTGGTTTCTCTATCAGATTAGTAGGCTGCATGTGTTGCAGGTAAAGATACATATATGTCTGTTTAACTTGCGTTGCAATAATACAAACAAAGTTTGTGGATATGGCTTAGTAGACCTATGAACGTTAATCGAGTTGATTGCCTTCCTTAAATGGTTAGTTATTAATGGTTAAGCAGATAAATGTGCTAGTCATCAAAGGTCAGATAGCACAAAGGTAAAATATTGTGGCGAAAAGGGTAAGAATGAGTTAACGGTTAGGATAAGTGGACAGAAGGGGATGAAGAAGAGAAGGAAAAGGAAAGGGGGAGAAGAAAAGACCATGCAAAATTAGTTGAGGCGAGGGAGGGGTAAGGTGCCCTTCTTGAAGATGACACCAATGAGTCTCTTTGAACAGGGCAGTATTTTCCTCTTGCTAGAATAAAAGTCAATAGTAGTGAATTGATGATTGGCTCTCCTTCGGTTCTAAAGTTTATAGAGTAAATATCATATCATTTTTTTATATATATATTTTTTTCATTTTTCGGGTTACTGATGGAAAAGGATCTCTCACTTTTTAAAGACAGGTTTATTTTCATCTGCAGCTGCAACATCGTTCAAGAATTCTTTTGGTCTTCCAAAGTAAAGTTCTCCATAACCTTGGCCCAGGGTTTAGGGATGTGGTTAGGACACGTTCATTAGGGTATTTGACACCCATTAAGCTCTGTCAGTGCATGATATATTTTATGTGGTGGGATGTTAATGAGTTCATCAATGCTATCCTCAATTTGTAAATATCAGTCCTTTTTTCACAGGCTTTTCGTATCATGCGATGGTTAGAACTATTTAGCGCAGAACTGTCAAGAATACTCAGTCTGACCGGTGGTTTTCGTGTGAAGATGAAATGTATGTGGTTTCTGTGTCTCTAAACAAGAGAGGTCCAAATAAAAGAGCTCTTTCCTTTGAAACATGGTGTTAGCAATAAGTTTATTTTTTACACGGAATTCGGCAAGAAGTTTTCCTATCCTACATGCGATACCTAAAATACGCTTGTTAATTGTCGATGGAAAGATATTGCGTAGCTGGTCTACCTTGCCTTTGAAATCACCAATGATTTCTTGAGCCAGCACGGAAAATACGGCTTATGAATTCAACAGCCCCGGACTGATGTGGCGCATGCAACTCGTGTATCACTCCAGAAGCTCGGACTGGCGAGGTACATGTGATCAGAGGAAAAAAAAAAATTATGGACCTACAATCCACGAACAATCAATGAAACTTCCCGATCTAAGGGTGTTGGTTTCCTTAGGTGACGATCTATATCAGCAACTGGGGGTAGAAGTAAAGCCTTGCAGTGTCAACGGTGGTGCTTTATAATGATAATGCAGCAACCAGAGTGCGACTACGGGAGTGATTTTAATAATCAATGAGTATATCACTTTGTATCAAGGTAGAGGTATACAAAACGAAAAGATGTTTCATCAGGTTCCAATAATGTGCATTTAAACGGCAAACATAAGTGTATTAAAGTGTTAGGGTTTTCGAAAATACTACAAAAATGGTGTGTGTGTGTGTGTGTGTGTGTGTGTGTGTGTGTGTGTGTGTGTGTGTGTGTGTGTGTGTGTGTGTGTGTGTGTGTGTGTGCAATATATGCAATATATCTATATCTATCTATATTATATATATATATATATATATATATATATATATATATATATATAAACTATATACACAGTATATCAATATATGCAATATATATATATATATATATATATATATATATATATATATATGTATATATGTATATATGTATATATGTATGTATGTATGTATGTATGTATGCATGTAAGCATGTATATCTCGCCGTATATGTTTATGAATATTACATGATAACATTACACATTTCAAATGACAGAAGTTAAAAATGTACATCTGTTTTAAAAGATAACATGGTAATAACATAATAATCTTATTACCCTTGCATGATGTTTCATGCTAAATTTTGGCGTTTTAAAAAGAATGTTGAAATTTGAGAAAATCAAGAAAAGATACTAGGAAATTTTAAAAAGTTTACCCTACCCCTTTATAGGCCTACTAACAA